GTGGCTCCCAGCCCGTCTCCCCCCAGAGGTCCACGCTGGCTGGTTCTGTGACACGCTCGTCAGCGTGGCGTGTGTCTGCGTGTCCCGCCGCTGCAGTCACAGGGCAGGCCCTTGCGTGGAATGCCTTTCGGTCAGCGCTGTTTGCGGTCCGGCCGTGCTGTTGGTCGCAGCGGTGGCCTGCGTGTTGGCGGTGTTGCGCAGGGCCCCGCGGTGCGAGCACGGTCTAACCCACTCCGCGGTCGATGTGGTTTCCGGCCGGGTTGCCACAGTGTCCTCTTTGTTACCTGCCGTCCAGTTGCCCTGGCTGATGGTATCCCCCCCGTGCAATAGACGAGACCCCACCTGCTCTGCTCCCTGTGCACGGTTGGCCCATTTGCAACAGCAGGTTCCCAGGCCTGCCTGCCTTCTGTGTGTCTCTGGGCCTCACCCTGACACGGCAGTATCCCCACGTTCCACGTGGACCAGAGCCCTGAGACACCATCCTCGTGGTGCGAGCCACAGCCCCACGTCCTTGCCACCCACTGCCTGGTGAGGTACCTGAGACACCGGGTCTGCCAGGCAGCCTTGTTAACGCTGCCCGTCCCTGTTCCTCTCACCAGTCCTTGCCAGTGGTGTCCAGGGCTCCCATTCCCCACAGCATGCAGTAGCTCCTCCCTGCAGCCCCCTCCCTCCCTCACGGGATCCCCAAAACGGCTGGGTGGGAGAGGCCACCGACCCTCCCATCTGATAGCAGCTGGCAGGAGTAACGACGCCACCTGAGCCCACGAGATTTTTATTAAGCTGGGGTGCACCTCACGCAGGACACAGCAGGCCACGTCCCAGTGAGGGCTGCTGTGACCCCCCACCTCCCTGCACGCGAGCTTTAAAGGCTTGGCTTACAAGGCAGGATGACTGGGCGGAGGTCCGGCGTGCCTGCCCCTGCTGTGTTTAGCAGATTGATAGGTGGCTGTGAGTCGTAGCTGACTTGGGCAGTGCGGTGTCCGGCAGGGCACTCCCTCAGGGCACAGCAGGTGTCTGGGTGAGAGGAGTGGACCCGCTGCCCGCCAAGTGCTGCATGAGAGGTGGGTGTGACAGAGTGACAGGTGTCTGTGCCCTTGAGGACTGGGCGAGGCCTGTCCCCTCTGCTCCCCAGGTGCCCGTACCTGCACCGCACGACAGGGGACACGGAGCGCAAGTACCACCTCCGTTACTATAAGACGGGGACCTGCATCCACGAGACAGACGCCCGGGGCCACTGCGCCAAGAACGGCCTGCACTGTGCCTTTGCGCATGGGCCGCTGGACCTGCGGCCGCCCGTGTGTGATATCCGGTGAGTGCTGGGGTGGGCGGGTAGAGGCACAGGTGAGCACCCCGCCTGTCACCCCACGTGCTCCAGGCGAGCCAGACGAACGCTGGCACTAGTGGTGCCCACAAGCAGAGTCCGCAGCCAGACAGGTCCGCGTGGGCCCAGCTGTAACGCTTGCTGGTGGGTGAAGCAGCTGAGCCCGTTAGCTCCTCTCCCAGGAAACAGGCCTGTGGGGGGCTGGATGGGCCGGGCGCTCAGCGTCGGGCCTGCGCTCTCGGGAACCAGCCGGAGAACTGCCCCGGTGACCCTCTGAGGAGCCGCTGGGCAGCTCGGGGTTGAGTGCTGGACGTCTAACTGTAAGGTGGGTGGTTCGAACCCACCCAGAGGCGCCTTGGGAGAAAGGGCTGGCCTTCTCCCGAAAGGTCGCACCCTCCCAGGAAGGACCTGCTCCTCAAGTCAGCCTGCTGAGATCCGGGACGGGGCTCAGGAAGCGGGAAGGGGCAGAGAAGGGAATCGGGAGCCCCAGGGAGGAGGTGGGAAGGGCACCGCCAGTGTCGGGGCTGAGTGAATGTCACCAAACAGAACGTGATGGACTGCTGCGTGTAAAATGAATGCGTTCCATCAACTTTCACCCAAATCACGGTAAAAAGTTGAAGAAAGAGACCGGCCCTGGCGTAAACCCTCTGGAGAAGTTCTTCAGCACATGGGGTCACCGGGAGTCAGAACCGACTCCACGGCTGCTGGGGGTTTCCTGTCTGTGGAGCCTTGGTTTTCTTTCTGATGAGAACTCAGCCCCCACTTCCTTGTAGCCTCCCGCTCCGTGTCCCGTGGGCAGCGCGGATGCTGGGAAGTGAGCGCCATCTGAGGAAATCTGTGCAGGGGCGTGGGTCCCGCCCGAGTGAGGCTGTCCTGAGCGTTTGGGGTTTGGGCACGGATGTGTCCGGGACGGGCTCACGATGCTGTCTGTGACAAGTGGGTGGCAGGCGGCGTCTCGGGAGACACGTCCTGAAGGGCCGCGGCCCAGCAAAGCTGTAACGGTTCTTTGTTGGCTGCAGGGAGCTGCAGGCCCAGGACGCCCTACAGAACGGCCAGCCCGGCGGCGGGGACAGCCTCCCGGATCTGCAGCCCGGCGTCCTGGCCAGCCAGGCCATGATTGAGAAGATCCTGGACGAGGACCCCCGTTGGCAAGGTAACCCCGTGCCTCTGCCGAGCGTGCGAGGTGACGGCAGCACCAGGTGTACCCCAGCTCGGTTCATTTCTGCCCCGAGAGCGACGCGCACGCCAGGCCCTGTCGTCCCCACTGACACGCGGGGAAACTGAGGCTGGCCGGGCTGAGTCCTCCCCCTGCAGTCTCTCGGCCGTGGTCCCTGAAGTGGCTGGACCCCACTGGGTGGGGCCGGTGGCCAGCTGATCCTGGGGGGGTCCTGCCCGGCCTAGGCAGCTGCCTCCTGGGGCATCAGCCTTTAGGATCCTGGGGGCTGGTCGGAAACAGGCCCTGCGACGGCCTTCCCACGGACCCCGTGCCCAGAAGCGGCACTGGCCCGGATCCGAGCTTGAGCACAGACTCCACCTTGTCGTTGTCGTTGCCGTTGGCGAGAATGCCTGAGGGAGCTTCACGTTTCTTGCTTCCCACTCATCTGCCCTGCGGTTCGGAATATCCCCAGACTTCCAGCCAGGGGCCAGGGCTCTGGTTCCCTCCGGGCGTCCCTGGTTACGGTCCGCAGGTCACCATCCCGTGCTGAGTGGAGGACAGTGGGGCAGGGCCGGCTGTGCCGGGCGTGGTTCGTACTGTCAAGCTCGCGGCACCCACACAGGCCGCTTCGCTAACGTGTGCTTTCGCTCCTTTGACCTGTGTCAGAAAACGTTATGTCAGTGGAGAAATGGGGGGCTCTGGAGCCCCTGCCCCGGGCTGCCTCTGCAGGACCCCCCAGGCCCGCCTCCCACATTTCTGCCCTTCGCCACCGCTTGCTTTGCTGCTGTATTTTAAGTCAGAGATTTCATGTTTTAGGTTTACAGAAAAATGGTCCCTCCCAACCCCATTTCTCTTGTTACCGGCATTTTGTTCCCGTGGTCCATTGGTTACGGTTGAGGAACCCAGATGGAAACGTTTCTATTCACTAGGGTTCCCGGTTCACATTGGGGTTCCCCTCTGTGCTGTTACAACGGGTGAGTCGGTATTGAAGCGTCCTTGTTAACTGGGGTCCGTAGCTCACGCCAGGGCTCCTCTGAGCTGTGTGGGACTGTGGGTTTAGACAAATGCATGTCAGGTCTCCACCGTGACAGAAGCCTGCAGAGGTGTCTCGCTGCCCTGAAACGGTTCTGGGCTCCCTTACTCATCCTTCCCCTCTCCTCCCGGACCCCTGGAGCCCTCGTCTGTTCACTGACTCTGTAGCGGTCCCTCTGTGAGACGTCCTGTGGTCGGCATCAGCCATGTGCAGCCTTGCAGACGGGTGTCTTGGACTCGGCAGTGTTCCTCGAGGCTCCTCCGTGGCTTCTGGTGGCGTGATGGCCCCCTGCTATGAGGACGGAGCGCGTCCGTGTGTCCACTGCCCGCGGATGGACTGTGTCTGTGTCTGCCGCCCGCGGATAGAGTGCGTCGTGTGTCCGCCGCCCGTGGACGGACCGCGTCTGTGTGTCTGTCGCCTATGGACGGACTGTGTCTGTGTCTGCCGCCCGCGGACGGAGTGCGTCCGTGTGTCCGCCGCCCACTGAGGGATCTCCTAATTGCTTGTGGCCCTCCCAGCAGAACCTGCGAGCCCTGCCTTAGTGACCTCTGTCACGTGAGCACCTGGAGACCCGTCTCCCGCCGTCACTTCCTGCTTAGTGTCCAGTGCCCAGCGTTTGCTTTCTCGTCTCCGCCTCATGGTCGCTACTGCCCCGCTGGTCCCGTTTGCCATGGGACCTCGTGTGAGGCACTCAGCCGACACCAGGGAGACGGTGCTTTGCGGCTGCTGTTTTCTGCTGTCCCCCAGGCCCCTCTGTCGCCCCCACACCTGCTAAGGGGTCCACAGAGCCTGTCTTCTTGTCATTGACTGGAATGTGCCGTGCGCGGTGGTGCCACCGTCTGACATCTGAACTCGGGCCTGTGCCTTATGTCAGTGGTGGCTGTTCTCTTCCCTCCCACTGCACCGTACGAAGCCGTGCCGGTGCTCAGGACTTGGGGTGTAGGCTCTCCTTTCTCCCCTCCCCACGCCTGCCCTGGGCACTGAGCTCCACGGTGCCAGGCACCTGCACAATGTTGTCCAGTCCAAGAGAGGAACCGCCACCCAGTAGTTACTGCTTTTAAAGACCCCGGGGTATTGTGCGGCCCTGGGTGGCACAAACCCCACTACTGACTGCGAGGTAGGGGGTTCACGCTGACGCAGCAGCATGGCAGAAAGGCCTAGTGACCCGCTGTCCGTAGAGGTTGCGGCCAGGACAGCCCTACGGAGCAGTTTTACCGCGACACACGGGGTTGCCGTCAGCTGGAATCGACTCTGAGGCAGAGCGTTGATGGGGGTGTTGTTGCTTGGAGGGGGCGTTTCCACGACATCAAAGGGACCACTTTAAAGTGGACACTCAGTGCATTCAGCGTGTTCAGTGTTGACCAAGCTCTGCCTCCGCCTGGTGCTGGAACATTTCTCACCCCCCCCAAAGGAAACCCCTCACCTCCGCCTGGTTCCGGAACGTTCTCACC